TCTATTTTACCCTATAGGAAAATAAAGGAGAAGGTGATAAGGGCAGGGAATGATAGAAGGGAGGATAGGTTGGGGGAGGAAGTAATCAGAAGCAAATATTTTGAGGAGGGACAGGGACAAAGGAGAGAATAGAATAATTGGGGACCAGGATAGGATGGAGGGAAATACAATCTTTCACAACACAACTACTATGGAAGTGTTTTGCATGACTATACATGTATAACCTATATTGAATTGCTTGCCTTCTGATTGCGGATGGGTGGGGAGGGAGAAGGGAGAGAATTTGAAATTCAAAATTTTAAAAACAAATGTTAAAAAATTGTTTTTACATGCAACTGGAAAATAAGATATACAGGCAAAGGGGTATAGAAATCTATCCTTCCCTATGGGAAAATAGAAGGGTAAAGGTATAAGAGAAGGGGGAGAATGATAGAAGGGAGGGCGAATTAGGGGAAGGGGTATTCAGAATGCACGCCATCTTGGGGTAGGGGGAGGGGAGAGATGGGGAGAAATTTTGGAACTCAAAATCTTGTGGAATTGCATGTTGAAAACTAAAAATAAATAAATTAATAAAAAGTAGAATTGGGCAAGTGGAAGATAATGACTTTATGAGATATCAAGAAACAATAAAATAAAATCAAAAAGAATGAAAAAAAAATGGAAGAAAATGTGAAGTATCTCATTGGAAAAACAACTGACCTGGAAAATAGATCCAAGAGAAATAATTTAAGAATTATTGGACTACCTGAAAGCCATGATCAAAAAAGGAGCCTAAACATCATCTTTCAAGAAATTATCAAGGAAAACTGCCCTGATACTCCAAAACCAGAGGGTAAAATAGAAATGGAAAGAATCCACTGATCACTTCCTGAAAGAGATCTCAAAATGAAATCTCACAGGAATATTATAGCGAAATTCTAGAGTTCCAAGGTCAAGGAGAAAATATTGTAAGCTGTCAGAAAGAAAAAAATTCAAACATCATGGAGTTACCTTGTCAAGGTATCACAAGATTTAGCAGTTTTTACACTAAAGGATCAGAGGGCTTGGAATATTACATTCTGGAGGGCAAAGGAGGTAAGACTGCAACCAAGAATTACCTACCCATTAACACTGAGTATAATCCTTCAGGGGGAAAAATGAATATTAAATGAAAATGAGGACTTTTAAGCATTCTTGTTGAAAAGACTAGAGCTGAATAGAAAATTTGACTTTCAAATACAAGACTCAAAAGAAGGTAAAGAGGAAAGAGAAATCATAAGGGATTCAACAAGTTTAAACTGTTTTGATATTTGTGAATCTTAAAAACTTTCTCATTATTAGGGCAGTTAGAAGGAGTATACATAGACAGGAGGCATGAGTGTGAGTTGAATACAATGGGATGGTTACCTAAAAAATAAAATTAAGGGTTGAGAAAGAAGAATGCACTGGGAGAAGGAGGAAGGGAGAGATAGAATGGGGTAAATTATCGGGTAAATTATCTGACATTAAAGAGGCATGAAAGAGATTTTACAGTGGATGGGGAAGAATGAGAAAGTGGTGGAGGTGGGGGGAGTACACGAACCTTACTCTCATCAGAATTGGCTCAAAGTGGGAATAACATACACATTCCGAGGGTTATACAAATCTATCTTATCATATAGGACAGTAGGAGGGGATGGGGAGAAGAGAAGGGTGGGGATGATAGAAGAGAGGTCAGATTGGGGGAAGTAAAAGTCGGAAGCAACATACTTTTGAGAATGGATAGGGTGAAAGGACAGAGAGAGTAGGATAAACAGAGGGAAATGGCATGGAGGGAAATACATGGTTAGTAATCATTACTGTGAAAAATATTTTTACAGAAAGTTTTGCAGATAAAGACCTCATTTGTCAAATAGATAGAAAACTGAGTCAATATGTAGAAACAAGAGCCATTTCTCAGTTGATAAATGGTAAAGGATATGAACAAGCAGTTTTCAGAAGAAGAAATCAAAGCTATCTATAGTCATATGAACAATTCCTCTAAATTTATTGATTAGAGAAAAGCAAATTAAAACAATTCTGAGCTACTACCACATACTTATCAGATTATAAAAATTTTCTGTGTTTTCTTTCACAGCATGACTTACATGGAAATATGGTTTGCATGACTAACATGTATAATGTATGTCAAATTGTTTGCTTTATCAATGGGTGAAGGAGAGGGAGGGAGAGAATTTTGAACTCAAAATATGAAAAAGATTGTTAAAATTGTTTTTACTTGTAATTGGGGAAAAATAAATTATTACATTTTTTAAAAAAATGAAATGGGCAATTTAATTACACAAAAATTAAAATTTTACACAAGCAAAATCAATGAAGTTAAAATTAGGAGGGAAGCAGGTAACTGGGAAAAAGCATTGCAGTGAGTGTCCTGATAAGGAGTTCATTTCCAACCTTGTAAGAATAGGAACCATTCCCAAGTTAATAAATGATCAAGGATGCATATGAACAGTATTCTAAGGAAGAAATCCAATTTTCCAAGAGCCATAAATGAAAACACTACAAACTACTAAGAATTAGAAAAATATAAATTAAATCAACTCTAGGTTTCCACTTCACATCCATGGGGATTGCCAACTTTTTTTAAAAAAGGGGGCACATTTCAAATGCTAGAGGGTCTGTGGGAAAACAGGCATATTAATGCACTACTGGTAGACTTGTGAATTGGCTCAGTTATTCTAAGAAGTAATTTGCAGCTACAACCAAAAAGTTATTAAATTGTATGCAACTACTATGTCAACATACCAGAGATCAAAGAAAGAAGGAAATACATACAAAATAATAACTATTTGGGGGTAGCAAAGAACTAGAAATTAAGGGGATATCTATCAATTGATGAATGTATGAAAAATTATGGTGTATGAATATATGGAATAATGTGCTGTAAGAAATTATGAAAAGGGCAGTTTCAGAAAAATCTGAGAAGATTTGTATGAAATGACACAGTGAAGTGAGTAGAACCTGGAAAACCATAATAACAACATTGTACAGACAAAGAACTTTGAAAGATTTAAGAACTTTGTTCCACGTAATGACCAATCACAATATTTTTTTAACATGACCAATGTGGGAATTTGTTTTGCTTAACTATGCACATTTGTTATGTTTTGTTTTGTTTTGTTTTGTTTTTCCAATGGTGGGAGGGAGATAGAAGGCAGACAAAGTAGGTTTTTGTTATTTGAAAAAATAAAATTATATAAAAAAAGAAACTAAGAGGCCCAATTGAGGGAGGAGAGCATTCTAAGCATGGGTGACAACTAGTTCAAGGGCACAGAGATAGGAAATGGAGTGACCTGTTAGAGGAAATGCAAGTAGACCAGTGTGACTGGATCATAAGTGTGCATGAGGAATATAGTAATATATAGATTGAAAAGATAGGAAAAGTCCAGGTCAGGTAGTGCTTTAGATGCCAAATAGAGGAGTTTATATTTGATCCTAAAGTTCCTTGAAGTGGGGCAGAGCAGCAATATGGTCTAGGCCTACATTTTAGGGAGAAAAAAAACACCTTGGAGGCTTACTGGAGAATGGACTGGAATGGGGAGAGACCTGAGGCAGAAAACCTTTAGAAGGTTATTGTAGTTATATCAGAGGGAAGTGACCAAGGTGTGACCTAGGGGTTTGATTGTTTCATCAGAAAAGAAGAGCTGCATATGACAGATGTTGTGAAGGTAGAAATAAGATTTTTCTGTGAATTAGATATTTGGGGTGACAGTGAGGAGTCAACAATGAACTGAATTTGTGAGCCTAGGTAACTGGGAGGATGATGGTTCCCTCCAAAGTAAAAGGAAAGTTCAGAAGAGGGAAAAGTATAGGGTGCAGGAAGATAATAAGTTTTGTTTTAGACATGTTGATTTTGAGGTATTCAAGAAGCAGCTGGAGATTAGTGACCATAGCTTAGCAGAAAGACTAGGGATGGATGCATAGATCTGGAAATCATCTGCACAGAGATGATAATTGAACCTATGGGAGCCAATAAGAACTCCAAGTGAGATATTATATATCATAACATGAAGAGGGGCCAGGACAGAACCTTCGGAGAAACTCACTGTTAGTGGGTATGGCATGGATGAAGAAACAGCAAAGACTAAAGCATAGTCAGAAAGAAAACCAGAAGAGAGCACTGTCATGAAAATCTGGAGAGGAGAGAATATCTAGAAGGAGGTGTTCAACAGTACCATGAGTGATCAGGATAAAATAAAAAAAGCTATTAGATATGACAATTAAGACAAGACTATAACTCTAAAGAAGACATTTTCAGTTGTGAAGAACAGAAGCCAGATTGCAGAGGGAATAGAATAGAGCGAGAGGAAAGGAAATGAGGCACCAAATGTAAGCAGTTTTCTCGAGGAATTTAACTATGAAGGCAAGGACAAATGTGGGAGGGTAATTATCGTGAATGATCAGATCAGGTGAGGGTTTTTTAGGGATGAAGAAAATAAGGCATGTTTTTATTTAGCAGAGAAGGAGACAGTACATATGAAGGTACTGAAAGTAAGGGAGAGGAGAAATGATAGTGAGAACAACTTGCTAGAGAAGTCACGAAAGGATGAGATCAAGGGTGCATGCAGAGGCATTTCTTTGTCAAGCAGAGGGCTACTTCTTCATCTAAGAGGAGATAGTGGAGGGAGATGTCTTAGTAATGAAAAATAAAGGGGCAGCTGGGTGGTGCAGTGGATAGAGCTCCAGCCTTGGAGTCAGGAGGACTCAAATCTGGCCTCAGACACATGACACTTACTACCTGTGTGACCCGAGTCAAGTCACTTAACTCCATTGCCTCACCAAAAAAAAAAAGTAATGAAAAATGAGGAAGAGCAGGCATAAAAGATGTATTATAGCAGAGGGCACAACTTTCACGATTGAATCTGACATGCATGTTTCCTCTTTATACTAGTAACAGCAGACATGAAAGTAGCTGCATTTTTCTAGATCTTTAATTCACTTAGGCACAATTAAAAGTAGTATAATACAGAATCTTTCCTTACCTAAGTGCTTCATGAGACAGAGAGGAAAAATAATAGCAATGGTAATTAATATAAGTATTCGACCATCCAAATACCATATTCTGTAAGATATTTTAAATAAAAAAAAACATTTTGTTAGAAACTTATTTTCACTCAAACAACAATTTTATAGTATATTTCCTATTCCTTTGCCATGATTTAAGATTTTATGTAATTTTACCTTTCTAATATTCTTTTTTTCTTACCTACTGTTTGAAATATGGTATCCATTTTGAATTATTGAAATGACTTCAAAATTGAATGCACACATCAAATTCAGTCAGATTATAAGACATGCATACTGCTACCAATTATTAAAGGAAAATGATTCTTTTGTGTGTGTTTCGTAAAGTTAATGTCAGCAAGTAAAAATTCATGAGAGGTAGGTATTTTTTTCCCACTGCTTCCCTATGTTACTATAAGAATGAATGGTTTGGAACTATAGGCTTCTATAATTTTCCCTTGAAGGGAAATAGGAAAAAATAACAATGAAAGGGAATTGCTAAACAAAATGGAATCAAAGTATGACTTGTAGGTCAGATGTGTCCAAGACTATTTGAATCTTTTGTGGGAAGGTCCAGATCACATAAAACACTCATTCCTAGAATGTCCTTTCTTCAACAATGTGGTTATACCTTCTATTTTTGCAAGCTATGTGTCTGTTGAAAATACTTCAATAAATTTCATTTCATGTAAACTAGATACAGGCTTCAGTTTAGGGTCCTAGGAAATTCCAACAGCATTTCTTTGTTGCATGTTGAATGAGTTTTCATCTACCAAATCTTTAAAGTTTTCTACCTTTGTGTCTCTTTTTCCCTTTATTTTTGTGATCCCAAATCAGTCTACCAAAAGTTCAGTCAACTAGAATTTTATTAAGATCAAAACTCTGATCAGTTTACATATAAATTTAAAGTTAGAACATAAAAAAATAGCCTTTTAACTTATGGAAATTCTTCTTCCTTTCCTAGAAGAACTTTTAGGACACAGGGCAGTTCATTTTTTACTATAAAAAGGTAGCTCAGAATGACTAAGGAGGAAAATAAGAATATATTTTTTGGAAAGGAGACACTGTAGTTCATATTGCAAGCCATACAAAAGGTTACAAAGCCTTGTCCTCAGGTTAAGGCATTAAGATAGAAAACCAGCATTGCCAAATCCTAGCAACTTAATTGGCTATAAGTAAAAGATGAGACTAATTTATTCTACACATCACACACCATTTTTGCTATAAGGGCAGGTAATGTCCATGGTTTTGTCACGTTAAATCAATGAGGTCACGGAAACACAACTACTAAAAAGGAAAAATGTTTTTAGTCACACTATTTTATAGTGTGTACAGAGACATGCTTGGGAGTGGGTTAGGGCAGGGAGACAACAGGGGAAGATTGTGCTGCATTTACCTCCCATGTTCTGGAGAAAGGTGGTTCCAAATATGATATACTTCCCTTTGAGGCCATAAATTTTCTCACCCATCTTTTCAAAACTCAAACATCCTGAATGAATTTAAGAGAACATAAAAAGTGACAAAAGTCATAAAACCAAAACAACCAAGACCCAGTGATCATTCTTCAATCCTGTTACTTCTATCCTGCCAAAATCAGGCCGTGTTATAAGCTGTCATTAGAATGAAGGAAATATTACTTCAAAACTTATTAAAAATATTTAAGTGTCAAGAGTGATCACTATTTCCCCTTTTTGATTTGGCTGTAAAAGCATAAAAAGTGATCTAATGGCTTATTTTTAATTGTTTCAAATGAGCAGAACTCTATTTTGCACATTGTCACTGCTTCAATCTTATTCCTAGGCCCAGTCTACCTAGTAAAAATGAAACAGAGGACTGATGCAATTACACTGATGCCCTTCCCCTCCCCCCACCACAAAAAAGTATTTTGCTTTAGATTGCTCAAATTGTCAAGCTTAGACTAAGTTTTTTGCCTTGACTGAAGTAATTGAAGTTGTATGGAATTGGGTCTTTTTCCTATTATTTTTGGGTTGATTTGTTTTTCTTATTTTTATTCTATCAAGAACCATGCTTGATACATACAAAAATTTATTTGGGGGTGTTCAGGGAACTCATGACACTAGGAATCAGGCAGTTTTGATAATGGTCTCAATTAAAATCAAGCTATCAAAATACTGAGGAAGATGAAATGAGAATGACAGATAATGTCTGCCAGAGCACAATGCAGACAAACTGAAATTCAAAGCATTTAAGGTGCTGATCTAAATGGTGATGGGAAGACAAATTTGTTCTTTTTTTTAAAATCTTGTTTACATTTCTTTATGACTTATGCTCAAAATGTTTATGTTTTCCAAACCTAGTACTCAAAGAAAAAAACAGCTAGATCCTCAATTTAGAACCAAATGCTCCAGGTTTTTGTAATGCAATGCTCTGGCTGACATAGGAAATATATTGCAAATATAATTCAGTATGAAACAAAACTAGAAAATAAACCTAAAGGAATTACACTCTTAAGGTAAATTAATAGTAGATACTTCGAGGTTAGCTCAGAAGTAATGTTTTCTCTTTAGAACTTACCCAAAAAAGAATGAATAAATATATTTCCTTTTAAAACCTGGAAATCACAACTTGAAGACATAGGACACTTGTTCTTCAATATAGTATGGACTGAGGGAAAAGTAGAACTCTTAAGAGTAAGATAATCAACTGAGAAAAATAAGCCTAATTGACAGTTCTCTTTAAATTGCACTTCTCACTTGCTTTATGTACACTGAAAAAATGCAGTTGATAATTGCATTTCGCCTTGGTCCCAGGTGAGCACCAAAGACATTCCTTGACTGTGGTTCCAACTGCTGTTTCTATATAATCAGGCTGCTGAAAGAGCAAAAGGAAATTCAGCTAATAAAATCATTACGAAAATCTTTCCCTCTTACCTTCTTCCACTTAGCTAAATTGGATCTTGTCTCAACTTACCTGTTGCCTCAGAACATGCCAACATAAGATTGATTGAATAGCTAGCCAAGGTTGACACTAAAATAAAAAGGAACCTAAAACAAGGGAAACAATCTTTTGTTATAATTAGCTAAGAAGAAAAATGTCTTTGGAATTGGACTTTTAGACAGGTAAAGGTTTATTTAAAAGGGCAAAATCATTCTGCTAAGAGAACCCAAAGTTTACAGTCTATTACTCTTTCCCTCTTTAAAAATCTGCATTAAGAATATACTAAAAAAAAATGCTAATCAGAACCCACCTAACTATAAAAACCTTTGCTGGTTCAAAGCCTCAATGTTTTCCTTGGATCTGTACAGGTAATTCTTAAATAGCATTATGAATTTTTTTTTTGCATTTTAAATATACATTTGTGGATAATCTTTTAAACAGGATGTGGGAGCAAAGGGGATTGAGAACTCTTAAAACCAGTCATATGTTGGGTTAACTGGGAGCAAAAATAAACAAACAAGCAAACCAAAAACCAACAACAGACTACTATTCTGAGCCTCGGTTTCCACAATTTGTAAAATGATGGACTTAGATTTGATCATTTAATGCTACTTTCTTCTGGCTATAAAATTCTGTAACTCCTTTTTGAATATGTATACTTGAAACATAGGGATGCTTGTTGTTTTTAAACTTCTGGCTCCTTTATAATAATGATTAGTCATCTCCTAACTGGTGTTAGAATCCTAATATTCATGCAAAATAAAAAGGATAATCTGAACAGTTACATTAATGTTTTTGTAATGTTCATATTAATGTTTTTCATTATCCTCTTTTAAAAAAAGGTCTTTACTTGCAATGCTTAGTAATCAAGTCAAAGTTGAGATAAGAAAAAGATCAACAAAACGTGTGTGTATGTGAGAGAGACAGAGACAGAGAGAGACACAGAGAGAGAGACAGAGAGATTCTTCTGTTTCTGATTTTTTTTTTTCCAAAATAGACATGCTCAGCTCAGGAAAATCTACTTCTTCGAGAGAGTAAAAGAAACTTTGACAAAGCGTTGTTTCAGAGTCCACCCATTTCTTGATTAAATAGAAACAAATACTCAAAGTACAACTTATCACTGTCTCCAATTTTCGTAAGAGTTTGTGAAGTACTTGACATCATCACTGTATATGCTCACCTTGCTTCTTAGCTTTGAGTTTTATAGCAATAAGGGACAGGGCTTCTACCCCCAAAGACTGTTCAGGTTGCTGATGCATAAGTTTTCTAGTAGAATGGGAAAGACACAAAAGGTGTCTTTGCTGTCTGTTTCTCCTCATAATTTGGTTAGTTTTCCTTTATGTATTTAGATGCCATTTGGTTTATATACATTAGGTACTGATATTAATTCATTGCCTATAGTACCTTTCAGCATAAGGTAAGTTTCCTTGTATTTTTCTTTTAATCGAATCTATTTTTGCTGTTGCCTTTTGTCTGACATCATTAATCATGTGTCACCACCTGCTTCGCCACCCCCCCCCGCCCCGTCCAACTTTGCTCCCGACCATTCAGAGTTCAGCTAATGCTCTTTATTACTTAAGTTCTTTCTTTCTGGCTGTCTGTAGCATTTTTTTTCTTTGACCTAGAAGTTCTGGATTTTGGCTATAATATTTTTGAGAGTTTTCATTTTGGGGCTTCTTTTTGAGGGTGACCAGTGAATTCTTTCCATTTTTACTTTCCCTTCTGGTTCTAATAACTCTAGGTAGTTTCCAAAATATGATATCCATACTTTCTTTTGGTCTTGAGTTTCAGGACCAATTCAGGACCAATGGTTCTTTTTTTTTAATTTTTTAAAAATTTGTTTATGTGTGTGTGTATGAGTGTATTTTTTTTAAGGCAATTGGGGTTAAGTGACTTGCCCAGGGTCACACAGCTAGTAAGTGTCAAGTGTTTGGTCTGAGGCCAGATTTGAACTCAGCTCCTCCTAGACTTCAGGGCCAGTGCTCTATCTACTGCACCACCTAGCTGCCCTCCCATTGATTCTCAAATTGTCTCTAGTTGATTTTTTTTTTCCAGGTGAATTGTTTTTGAAATATCTTACATTTTCTCCTATTTCTTTAGTCTTCTTACTTTTAAAAAATATTTCTTGCTGTTTAATGTAGTCATTAACTTGGTCCATTCAAATTTTCTAGTATTCTTTTACTCAGATAAGGTTTTATACTGTTTGTACTATACTATTTTTTTTTCACATTACACACCTTGCCTTCAAAGCTTTAATTTCTTTTCTAGTTCTTTCCTCCAGAAATCTCATTTTGGTTTTAAAATCATGAACATATTTGCAGGCAATAGGGAAGTAGTCAGTAGAAAGAGAAGCACAGTTGGCTTCCTGCATATCACCAGACTCATCCCTGCTAGATCCAGGATCTCTTCTTTCCTTGGTAAACAACCATAGACTCAAATTCAGACCTTGTACTCAGTGTCCTTAGGCAACTGTCTGTATCCCTCTGCTGATCTGGGATGGAAAAAATGATCAACCCTGATTTTCCTTAAATTTCCCTGGTCTGGTGCTCTTCTTTGGAGTAGTTGTGGGACAGACCTGGGTTATAATGCTTCCTCCTACTCCACCATCTTTGCTTGTCTGTTGTCAAAAACTATCTTGCCTTCATGCCTACTCACTTAGTGATGACAGAACTGGGATTAGGTTATGTTTGCCACTCTCTCCTATAGTCATATGTGTAGGTCACTTATCTTCATGATTAAACTAGCACTATCATATTTTAAGAGTGAAGCTTTCTTCTAAGAGAAAAAGATAGAAACATAATTCATTTTCATCAACTAGCACTTCAAATTAACCTTTGTCAGTTTATTCAACCTTAAGACTTTCTTTGTCCCTCTGAGACTGTGACAGTTTTTTTGAAACTAAACATTACTCAAATCACCGCCATCACAAAATGAAAGGTTGGACTCCCAAAATTAGTCATCAGTGGTTCAAAATCAACTTAGAAATAGGTCTCCAGTTGAGCGACTTCATAATAACTCTGTGAATAGGTGTTATTGTTTTTCCTATTTTAAAGATGAAGAAACTAAGGTAAGAGAGTTTAAGTGACTTGCCCAGAATCACACAGCTAAGTGTCTGAGGCAGGATTTGAACACAGGTCTTTCTGCTTCTAAGTCCATCTCTATATCCACTGTGCCACGTAGCTGAATAGGTAATGAAAAAATATGCATAGAAGCTCTTTTTGTGATGGCAAGGAATAAGAAAATAAAGAGGTGACCCTCAATTGTGGAATGGCTGAACAAATTATGGTATATGAATGTAATGAAATATTGTTGTGCCATAAGAAATTATGAAAAAAGAGGGTTTCAGAGAAACTGGAGCAGACCTGTACATGAAACGAATACAGCCAGGAGAAAAATTTATGTAATGACATTATTGTAGAAAAAAAAACAATTTCAAAAGACTTAAGAACTCTGATCAATGCAATGACCAATCACAATTCTAGATGCTACACATCTCTTAGCAGACAGGTAGTAGATTCAAAATGCAGAGTAAGACACATTCTCAGACGTGGTCAGTGTGGGAATTTCCTTCACTTGTCTAGCATATCTGTTACAAAGCTTTTGTTTTTAGTGGGTGAGGGTGGGGAGAAGGGAGCTAGGGATAGGTTAGCAAAATAAAAAGAAAACAATAGAAAGAAAACTGAGTCATTGAATTCTTTAATGCAAAGAAGAAAAGAGAAAGGAAAAAATCATAAACAAGCAGGACAGCTTTGAAAGATACATATTGAAAAGACCAGCCAAGACAGTAGAGTAGGAAGTAGTAGGCCCAGCTTTGTCTCACAATTACTCTTCTAAGATCTAAAAAACTTCCCAACTGGGAAACCCAAGGAAAAATCCCAGTGAATGATTTTTTTTTTGGCCTAGGTTCATATAAAAAGACAGAGAGGTCTGTGGATAACGGACAGGATTTAGCAAGGAGGGCACTATGTGAAACTTTCCAAGGCAGAGACTGAACTGGGGGTTGTAATTATGCATTAGGGCAAGAAGAGGTCCTGGTAGACTTAAAATTATCTAGGGAGAAAGAATAGGTGTCAAGTGGCATCTCTGTCCCTGGTATGCCAGAGCGGGGTTGCAAATCTGGTGCAGAAGGCTAGGGGTTGGGTCTAGCAGCAACCTATTGGAACCCCAAGCAGAGGCAAAACCCGCAGGTATGTTGTTCAGACCCAAATCCAGGTGAGGACTTTTCAGAATTCATGGCAAGAAAGCAATTTTCTTGCTTTAACCTGAATCAAACCACTTTGGGAACAAACAAACAAAAAAACTTGCAGGAACCCACCCTGAGCTGTGCCTGAGATCCCTGAAAAACCCAGCATCAATACAAGAAGAAAATAGCAGCAGGACCATTCTGTTTGGGGGAGAACAGGTGACGTGTGAACTTCACTTTCACATGAATTGAGCAAATGAAGGAAGAATATTGTTGTGAGTAAAATCTGTGATAAAGAGAAACTGAGTCAATAAAGTTTTGAGCACAATTCAATTTATTAGTAAGGATAGCAAGTGTCAGTAAAAATGATACAAGTTTCCTCAGTAGCCAAGGATGCATCTGGCAATCAGGACAGCTTGTTTACAGTCATACAAATAAACCTTAAAGATAGACAGGGACACCAATCTGACATAACAAAGGTACCACAAGTTACATCAGTTTATCACCAGACGAATATCCTCTGGAAAGTGTCATGGTTGGTAATTTCTGAGGGAGAGCAAAGAGCTTGTGGTTTACATATTACTGATTTCTGATAAATTAGTATATAGATTAGAATTCTGTGGCTGGAGAGTACTGAGGAAGGGAACTTAATGGATGGAGGGTGAC